GGGATTAACCGTTAGCCGTAAAACGGACCAAACATTTATCCGCTAGGCATAAAAATGGAAACATTTTAACTCTTTGAAGACCTTAAATATGTTTCACTGAAATCAAAATAAATTTTTAACCTTTTTTAAACGATGAATATTAATTTTCAACTTTTTAAAACAACGGTAATTAATTTCTAAGATTTCTGTTCACCGTAAGGAAAATAATTAGCTATAAAAGCCACCACCCCATTGAGATCCCCTAATAAATAACCGCCTTGACAAGCTCGAACATAAGGCCATAGTCAGAGCAAAGTAGGGGATTGTGGACTGCTGATATATGTTTACATAGTAAAGCAGGGGTTTACGCTATAAATGAAAGCATGGTAAAAGAAAATACCTGTAAATAGATTCTTATGAAAAGAAAAACGTTCGTTGATCCCGTCGGTCAAAGTAACTAGTTCGGCGGTAAATTTCTTTTCTGAGTTTTTGCAAAGTACAATGCTTGTATTTTTTTCTCTCCTATCAGGAAGGCCGTGTCCGTTGTTGACAAACATAAAATACGGTTATGTCTCAAGCGGGTGCCAGATAGGTGTCCCAAGGTATGGTAAGACGTGCCACCATAGCTGTGTTAGTGGATACAATCTTAAGGGAAACAGAGAAAGAGAATGCCTGGCAAACGGTACATGGAGCGGCACTGAACCCACGTGCGAAAAGAACCATCCAAGTAAGTGCATAAACTCTACATCCGCTTATAAGGAAGGAACCATTATTTTATGAGGGAAAGGGGAGGCAAGAAAAAAGTAGTGCAAGGGGAGCCATGGGGAAAAAAATCGAGCAAGTGCTTTCTACTTAACAGGTCCTATGTCTGATTTCCTTTTTAAAAAGTTCTTGTACAAGCTGTCGATCGCCCATCGAAAAAAATCATGCACAACCTTAAGGTGAGAAAAAAAAACTCATGCCCCCCCCCCTAAAAAATATAATGTTCTGTACGGAAACCACGAATGCAATTATTATACGATAACAGTAATAATAGGCGTGCCCTCTTAGAGTGTCTAAAATGTCACTTCTCAGTTTGCTGCGACACAGTTAAATTGGCGGCCTCGTCCACACT